CCAATCAGGAAGCAGTTGGTTACCCCCACAACTTTCATGCTACCATTGCACCAGTGGACACATGTTGCCTGGAAGGTCAGGTAGTTCAGCATTCATGGTTCACCATTGGGTAATACCATTGGTAACTTTTCTCTTCCAGCACTCTGAACAATACCTATGAAATATATGAAAGCTGCACTTCTTAAAAAAGTGTAGAAGTGTAAAGCTGTACTATTTATTGATGCAAACTTTGGTATATGCTATTTCCTCTGCCTGCGATGCTCTTCTAGATTGACCTGGTTAACTCTCACACATCTTTCATAACTCAGCCAAAAATTCTCTTCCTCCAGGAAGCCCACTTGACTGCCCTCTCCAGCTTTAGTTGGAGTCCCAGCTATTGGTATCCCCAGGAGAGGTTTTCAGGCTATCAGACATTTCTATTTTGTAAACCTCACTATACTTCATTCCTTGCTCCGTGTCTGTTTTTCCTGATACAGAGTAAATTGCATTAGGGCAGGGACCTTGTCTTTGTTCAGCTCTTCATTATGGACATTCCTGCACATGATGTTCCACATTTTTTTCACCTAAAGAATGGAGGCATTGGTTAGCTGTTATTTTACTTTGTTCTTAGATTTAGCCCTAATTTTGGAAAGCCCACTTTGTGACACACTCGTGCCTTTTTTCTTCTTTGCCTTCTCCCAGTTCTTGGTCTCTGTGGACTTTCCCTTCCCCAGCAAAACTCCTGCCCTGGAAGAAGCCTACAAGGTTAAGGTAGGGAACACCTTTGCTAGAAGATGGGTTAGAAAGTCTATACCAAATTCATACTGTTGTGTAGACAGGGGAAGAAAGGCCATGTTAAGCTGTGTACACAGCTTCTCTCACTGTCGTTCACACACACACATGCACATACACACACAAAATGAATTTGGGAGGCATTGAGACAGGGTCTCTCCATGTAGCCCAGGCTGGTACACCTGGCTCACTACCAATTTAATGGGAATTGGAAGGAAGATAGGTGAAGAGTAATGTCAGGGGAAAAGAAATGAAAGCATATTTCAGATTTGACTATTCATTGTCTTATTTAGGAGTCCTTAAATGTTTCTTTTCAATTTTTTGCTATTCTTTCTTAAGATCAAGATTGTGCATTAGTGCAATTTCCTCTAATACTGTTTCCTAATAACTGAATTGTTCTATACTTGTGATTACCTAAGTATGATTTCTTCATTCAGCAAATGTGCTCCTTCATTAAAGGAGGGGCAAACAGGGTCATTGGACCCTCACCAGAGTATCCAGCCACTCTTCCCAGCCAACTGTATGTAAATTGCCCCTAATCACACATGGTCTTCTAGATTTGGGGAGGGCTAAAGTATATGATCTGGGGAAGGCTAGGAAAAGAAGTCTTGACCCATGCTGGGTAAAAGCTTTCCAGTGTGCATACCCTCAGGCTATTCATACACCTCAACAACCCCTCAGGTATCTCAGTAAGTAAGCTCAGAAAATTCATTGGTTCCCCAGTAAAACTTTAATCAAACATTGGTTTGACACTAGAACCTTAAAAGGGAATAAGCATTGTTTAGTATCCCAAGGAAAAGAATTCTCACAACAGATAGAAAATTTATTTGTTAATGTTATTGTCTTATAATTGTTAAAAAAAAGAAAATGAGAATGTAAAAGATGTTAGAAGGACACGGGAATGGAGATATTTTCCAAAATAGAAATGAGATA